TCTGTGATCATCCAGCCTTCCTTGGTGGTTTCCTCGGTTTGGGTCTGGATAACTTTTAATTGAATTAAACGAAGCTCGTCTTACTTAAATTCAGAAAAATTATATTTCGGTTATTTGAATGTGAAATAAAAATAAAAATCGAATTATGAGAATATTTTTTAATTTTATATTTGTTCTATATGGTTAAAGCAGCCCTTGCGGTGCGTCACGCTTCGGAGCGCCTAAGCCCAAAATATTCGGGAAATTTCTGGACCCCGTCGAGTAAATCGATTGGGTCTACCCGGTACCTAAAATTTCCGAAATTTTTTTTTGCTCGGGCTGTAGCTTTAAGAGGGCGGGGCCTCTTCGGTGCTCTCGGGCTAGGCTCAGTCTTGTAAATATTTAGAAAATTTTGGGATCCGGGTAGCTCGACCCCTCGGTCTCGAAATTTGCGGAAAATTTTTAGTCATTATTTCTCTAATTTCTGTGAAATTTAAATATAATTTAGAGAACGAATGCAGGAATATGTGTTATAACTATTCTGTAGTTTTGAACTGGAATATCGTGCTTCATCTATTCATAATGATTATCGATTATAGGGATTTTCATATGTAGTGCTATGGATGAGCGATTGCGCGCGAAGGTTTAGTATCTATCTGTCCGTCGGTCCGTCCATTTATTTGTCTATCTATTTCTGTCTCTCTCTCTATCTCTCTCTCTTTCGGTCTCTTATTTTGACTCTGTCTCTCTCTATCTAGCTCTCTTGTCTTTCTCTCTCTCTCTCTATTTCTATATCTCTCTCTCTATTTCTTTATGTCTCTACCTCCTTATCTTAAATCTGTCTCTATTTCTATCTTTCTCTCTTTCTCTCATTATATCTTTCTCTCTATCTCTATTTCTCTTTCTATTTCTTTCTCTCTGTATATCTCTCTTTATTTCTCTTTCTCTCTTTCTCGCTCTCTCTCTTATAATTGCAATTTTTCCGCAAATTTCGAGACCGAAGCGCCGAGCTATTCGGATCTCCAAATTTTCTAAAACTCAGAAGACTCTGCCTAGCCCGAGACCACCGAAGAGGTCCCACCTGCTAAAAGCTACAACCCGAGCTATTAAATTTTCCAGAAATTTTTGCTTTTTATTAACCGAATCGTTTCGGGCGCCGTAATTTATCAAATTTCTTTAAAATAAGACTTTTACGAAAATTCAATATCTATCTATCTATCTATGCGTCTGGTCGGTCGGCCGTTTATCTCTCTATTTCTCCATTTATCTCTATCTAGTTATCTATCTCTCTATTTATCTATTTCTCTATCTATCTATTTTCTAATATAATTCGTCGCAACTATAAATGGGGCTTGATTGATAACTACTCCGACCAAGGACTCTATGAAGGTCAATTCTTAATATACGAAGTAGTTTATCGTGAGGTGCTCTCAATTTGACGGTTTTCGTTGCTCCTATATAGCCAGGTTGCAGCCGGCGACAAATTGCGTATACGGACATTGCACTTCTATATTATTGCTGTCTCTCCCTGGCTAAGCAAAAGACCTCATATCCTATTTATAATTCTGCCCTCGGCCTTCGGCATGGCACTCTAGATGAAATTTATCGCAAGGTGCTGTCACTTGAAGCTTGATTTCATCTTTGGGATGACTACCGTAAAAATAAATAATCGCAGGTAGATGTCCAACTATCCATAACTGACTTCGGCGCCGGAAAATTACGTGTAAGAATTCGATCTCAGCTTGTCCATAGCTGCACCGCTACGCGAGATTTGCGCCTTCGTGCTGAGACCTGGCGCTCTAAATTTTCTACAAATTTTCAGACTCGGGCTGTCGTTGCCGGAATACTGCTAAACTACATGCTCCACTTGAATACCGCTACTGGAAGCAGCGGATCAACTCTAGTATTCAAATAGAACGAAAATTCATTTTAAATTTTAATATAAATTTCGATAATAACGAAATTTTTCGATTTTCATAATTCTTATATATTCTCTGATTAAATATTATTATAGCATTTATAATCACGATTCTATGAATATTTTTAATTTTCTCTGCAATTTCGTCTTTTGATATATTTCTTTCTTTAAATATAAATATATTCGTCTATTATTTCTTCTTAATATTATTTATTTGATTTTATATCCATTAAGTTTATTGATATTTTTTAGAATATAATATAAAATAAAATGCAAAGATAATATAGCTTATAATAGATATTGTACGAATTGGAAAAATATCGATAGATAGCTATTGTAGGAGTGGAATACAGGTTTATTAATAATTAAGCATTAAATTAATCTGCTGATTCATATATAGAGATCGATAAATTTATTTATATTAGTGGTCGCTTCAATATTCATATTTATCTATATAAATTATATCTGATATTTACTGTACTGGCTAAATCTTTCTGCCTCTATTGGGCTTGCGTGCTCGCTCATTTCTTTTTGTCTTGCTCGCGAAGATTTACCCGGTGCGCCGCCTCTTGATAGTGCGCCGGATGCTATAGTAAGTCTTTGACTGGCTTACTAGTACTACTAGTACTGGTAATAATAGTTATTGAAAATACTAGCAATATCAGAAGTGCTAATAGTGCTTGGAAAAAAAACATACTAGCTGGTACTACTAGCACTACCATGCCAACAAGGAAGAGCACGAGGAGGTGTACTTATATCAATATTAATTTATAATACTTCTAATAGTAGTATTGGTAAGTACTAGTAGCAGCAGTAGTAGCTGTTGTAGTAGTTGTAGAAGGAGCTTATGTGCTCACTACAAATTCAGTTGAAATAGATGTTCGAAGCATATGAAGTAAGCATGAGCCATAGAAATGATTTGAGAAGTGGAGAATAATTAGTCCATAGATCTCCCAACTTAACTTCGTGAAGCCAAGAAGGAAAATCGAGGGTTCCGAGTTTTGTATCCTTCCTCGTGCTTGATCGTCTGAATCTGCTCGCTATTCTACTCATCTTCTCCCTCGGTTTCCACTAACTCAATAAGATTGAGCAGACATTTTTATTAGATACGAAAAAAGAAAAAACTATTATAGTAGGATGACTATATATTCGGATATACTCGCTCAAAATGACGTGCTGGGAAGGAATCCCTGCTCGCCGGAAAATTTTCCCGCTACACAGGCACGCGACCCAAAATTTCGCGGGCAGCAATTCAACCAGCACTTTGCGCAAGCATGGCCGGCACCCGACTCGCTCAGTAACTAAAGGCTTTTGCAGAAGGCTCAATTTCCCATGCTCTACTATTCTATAAACTAATCTAAATCGAATGCATATCTAAAATATTATAATAAAATAATTAAATTCTATTCTACTCGCCCATTCAACTATATCCTATTCACTCAAATAACTAATCCTGTAACCTACCCGCTATTTCTTCTATTATACGCCTTAAATCCATATTTCTTAAATTTTTCCAATTCGTAGAGCCCTATTCATATCCTTCCTTATTAGAAAATAAATACCTATATTTAGAAAAAATTATTAATATTTCTAATATTATTAAAAATATTAATTATTAGTAAAATCAATATTCATAACCATTAGAATTTAAGATTAACTTTCAAAAATATCGAATTCCTAGACAAACCATCAAGAAATAACAGACCGACTAATTTAGGCTATAAAAAATCTAAATTTTTTCTAAAAAAAATATAGATATATATATATATAATATTATTAAAAATAAAAATTATTCAAAAATATCTATATTTATAATCAAATATTTAGATTTTATTTTAAAGAATAAATGAAATAAATTCATTTTTTATAAATTTCGTGAATATTAATAAAATCAAAATTATAGAATATATCGACAATTCTTTACTAAATATATATCATATAATTTTTTCAAATTAATATAATTAAAAAATACATATTTTTTCGTATTTTAAATAACAAAATTATTAAATAGAGAAATTCATCGAATTTATTAAATATAATTAATATAGAAATCAAATCGAATCAAAAAGAATCTTAAATAGAAATTCTATTAAAATGAAATAGAACCGTACAAAATGAATATAATTATAATTTAGATATTTATCAATCTTACGACCACGACTATTTGCGAAGAAAATTATCTTTCGATAATAATCTATATTTCCCAAATATTTCACTATAAAATCAATATAATGATCAAATAAATAAATATATATATATATATCGAAGAAAAGGAAAATATATAATTACAATATAAGTACAAATTTACAAAATATATTTACGTATATATATATATATAATGTTTGAATCAAACCTTATGTAATAAAAAACAGAATACTCCCTAACAAGCAAACCCGATAATTTCATTTCGAGTCCCTTTGAGGCAAGCAAAAACAAAACAACCAGGTACCGGAACTAAACCCGAGACAGACAAATTATCTATAGAGATCCCGTAAGTGGACAGCACCTTTGTGCAGAGAGCTTATGATGTAAAGTAGCTTTAGAAAACTACTTCATGCTGATACAAAAAATAGAAAATTGTCTTCCAACTGATGACGTCCGTAATATCACCGAGATTTTTTTGCTGGACTCACGTCGGCTCCTGTCACAGGGATCACATGAGGTAAGCGAAACGCAGCTTCTAACTTTCTTGCTTCTAACTTCCTAACTCCCAAAACACCCGCTGCAAAACACGTGGAATCCCTGCTGTCGTGCTTGCAAGACAGCTACTTCTTTGCGGATTGTGGCTCCTCCTCGGGACTGTTTCATCTCTGCCCACGACACAGCAAGAAGCTTTCCCTAACCCCCCAGGTACCTACTATATAGGGTACTAGAGCCCCTCGGGCCCTATATAGTAGGTACCTGGAGGGTTAGGGTTTCATGTTGTCGAACGTGGTTTGTTTGACGTACGTCCTCGGCACCTCCGAGGGGCACAGGTGCCGAAGTTGGGGAGTTTGCGCTTTTGATTTACGCCCGTGCCACGGCTGCGAAGAGGCTTCGGGACCAGATAGTGCATGCAAACCCTCGCATGATTTCGAACTCGTAGGCACAGCTCTATAGGCACCTTTTTCGTCTTGTCCTTCTTCTGCTTGCGATCTTTCGGCTTCTTTGCGCCGTCCTGCCGAGAACAGTAATGAAAAGAAGGTGTTTGTTTCCGCAGGCAACGCCCGAAGAAACAGCAGGCTACTGCCTTCCGAATGATTCCGAATGTAGGGGCCTTACTAATTTTCAATAGGGTTTTTTGGGGTTCCTTATTATAGTTATGTTATAATATACCCCCAAACCCCACCGAAATTATTAAGGCCCCTATATTATTACCCCTCGTGCAGCTCTCGTGTTTACACAGACTCGAGTGGACGGTCTGCTGTCGGCCCGCATATGCCCGTATGCATGCTTTCAGAATTTCCGAGTAACCTGAATCCATCCCGGCTGCCTTCCCGACCATAAACGCAAGCTTCCTATCTACTGGCCTGGAGACTCCCTTGTGGCACACTTGCAAGCTACAGCACAGCATGGCAGCAAATCTCAGTGCCTGCATATGTACAATGCAAACATGAATATATTCTACTACTGCACTAGATATGGTGATACGGCTATACACCTGTGTAGACACATGTGCACGCACAGAGACAGACATCTTCATCTCCAGTTGCTGGGTCCCCACGCGGATGTACTCGGCCTGGGCAAGTGCTGCTTCAGCAGCTCTGCCGCCTGATAGGATGCTCTCAAGGCCCTAAGGGCCAACAAACAACCCCTAAAGTAGGGCTGTAGTACGGTTGTGGAATCTTGTGCATGGTTGAACTTGATCGTGGTTTTTGGCGCACTCCTGCTGTGCTGACGCGGATGTCTTTAGGAACCACCCTGGGGTCGCAGCTGCAGCATGGTAGCCACTTGAGGGTCGTTCTCATTGGGACGAGGTCGAAGTCTAGTCTAGGTGATGACAGAACTCCAAACACTACCCTAAACCCTAAACCCTAAACCCCTAAACCCTAAACCCTAAACCCCTAAACCCTAAACCCTAAAACTACCGCAGTTTCAGTATCCTGGAAAGCAAGGCTCGAGGGTCGAGGTGCCCAGCCTCCCTCTCGGAGCCACGACGACGAAAGACATAAACCATCCAGTGCAAACTAACACTTGGAGGTTCATGGGTAGTTATAAATGGGGTTACTATAAGGGTTACTATAACGGTATAGGGTTTAGGGTTTAGGGTTTAGGGTTTAGGGTTCATGGGAAGTTATAAATGGGGTTATAAGTAGGGTAACTATAGTTACAAGCCACATTATGGGACTTAGAACCCCACTTATAACTACCCATGAACCTCCAAGCACTACTAACACCCCTGAAACATAAATTGGCGCGCTGTCGAAACCTCGTGGGCTTCAGCACTCGTTCTCTTCTCGATTGGAAGTTGGTCGAAGAGGAAACCACATCACCCGCGTGACGCCTGCGCGTGTCCAAAGAGGTCAGCCAGATGAACAGCTTGCCGTTCCTGGCCCCTCGCCTGGCACACCGGGCCTCTTTTGTGCTGCTACCAGTAGGGCTAGTTTGGGTGCTTTCAGAAGCACGCGAGGTGGGCACAAGAACGGGAAATGCATAACGTCCAGATGCCTTCTCCCACGAGCTACAGTCGGGCCCAGTGTTCACGGTTCAGGGTTTAGGGTTTACCAGCATTGCCGACAGTATCTTGCATTAAAAAGGAAGAAGACGTGCACCTGGGGCAGGGTAGCTGTACACATCTGTGTACTCCGGCTCGAAGGGCCCCGCGACACGGGCAAGGAGGACAAGATGAGGCACCATGGTGTTATCACTGCGAGACCCCAGTACACGCTAATGAGTACCTCATCAGTCTGCACTCGGCATGTAAGTCGCACCGATCAAGCGTTACCAAAGCACTGCCCGTGGCACATGTCCAGTCTCAAAGCCCCGTGTCAACGTACAATGCCGTGTGTTCAGATTATGACGATTTTCAGTACTTAAAGGATCATGGGACTTACTTATAACCCCAATTAAGGGACTTATTTGCCTATTTGCTAAGTCCCATGATCCTCCAAGTAGGGATTTCCCGCGTCGCACCCCGCGCAGCTCTTCGTGCAGGGAGGCTCTGGCTGAAAGCAGCGCCTCATCAGCAATGAGGCAGGAGTGGGCAACAAAATCAGGGCATGCCGCGCAGTAATGAACAGTGGCGATCTTCTGACGCTGCATGATCAGAACTGTCTTGCGGCCTTCAACTCGAGGTATCTTCAGATGGACTGTGCTGTCAGCGAAGGCAGGGCCACAAGAGGACGTAGCGACTTTGCAAAGAAATAGAAAACCGCGCCTCAAGTGTAGCTTTGTGGCCACCCATGGCGGCCAACATCAGCGGCGTCACACCGCCACTCGCCGTGCAGTCGACCTCCGGCTGAGTTCTACGTGCCTTTGTCCAGTGGGCGTTGAAAACTAAGGGTTTAGGGTTTCGGGTTTCGGGTTTAGCCTCTCTCCAGCTCACTAACCCTCCCCCGTCAGACCCGACGCGTCCTCTGAAGCCGCACGGAACAAAACTCTTCTTCTAGGAGTTCTTCTCGGCCCCTCCCTTCCTGCAGGTGCCGAAACCCAACATCCCCCCTAAACCCTAAACCCTAAACCCTCCCTTTGATGGCAGGCCAAGGGGGTCGACCGCCCGAGCCACTAGGACCATCGTTCACAAGCATCGACTCTCAAGACGGATGTGTGGATCATCTCGGGCCTGCGCCTCCGCATTGAGAAGCATAGGTACGATCTTGCTCCGGCCATGTGCCTTACAATTCGCAGCATGCGAATACTCTTACTGTCATTGGACTTAGTCGTTTGTTGTAGAAAAATTGCGAAGTTGCTTACAGCCTGTTAACTTCCGGAGGCGATGTTGGCATCTTCCGTTTGCCGCCGTTGCTGCCGTTGCTGCTGCTGCTGTTGCTGTTCGTAATGTCTGATTGTAAGGACTCTTGCAATAGCCCGACAGCTATGGAATCAGGGACGCTGGAATCGCTGTACATGTACAGCTCATTCTTGCAACGCAATCTGTATTTCACAGCCGGAAGAATCAAGTGCTCGGGGCTTGGAGTGGGCGTGCGGCTCCACTTCAGGCTTGAATGGAGCCCCTAAGCAAGACACGTAGTCGCATGCTCAAACACTGAAACCGTCAAAAATGGTGCTAACTCCATGGCAACGAACTCAGCGTGCGCTTCATGACGGACCGCCGGCCCACATAAAGGAACTGGGCCCTGTGCAGCAGCGGCATGTAGGGCAGTGTACCTTTGTCTTCCGGTCATACTGATTGGACTGGCGATCTTGCCACGTTTTGGCCAAGGACTCTGCTGCACCCGAATCACGAGGAATCGCTTCACTTCTAATTACACGATCCTCACCAGATTTCCGAAGATCCTAAATCGTCGCAGTCGCCCTATGTGCCAAAGTCTTGTGTCTTGCTTCGGTCATGCCCCGAACTACCACAAAGACCCTAGAAACCCGGCACTTCACTGCGCACCCGTTCTCCGTGGCTGCCGTCGCCTGGACTCGACTCGCTAGCAGAGCCTGGACTGTTGAGACCTTGGCGACTTGCAGAGCTCCCCCATGCCCGGGTTTAGGGTTTAGGGTTTAGGGTTTAGGGTATCGGGTGCCATGCAACCCGAGAGCATCAAGGCTTTCTGGTTGGACACTTTTGGCCTTCGGAGCCGGCTTAAGCTGCTTGCGCCTCCCGGACTCTTTCCGCAAGCCCGCCCGCAGTGCTAGCGGCTAGCGGCAAGGCTTTCCAGTTTCTAGCTCAGGGTTCGAGGATGCTCGAGGCCCCCCGTCACCATCCCCTGCTAGTCCCCTGTGCAAATCTCGCGAAAAAGCTAAGCTCCGAGCAGCTCCGTCCGCAGACGCCTTCCGCAAGTTATCCTTGGTGAGCAGCCGTCGAAAAACATCGCATTTCCGCTGTTATTCCTGCAGATAGTTCAGGTCCTACGGGAATCGACCAGAGCGAGAAATCCAAGCGAAGCTTCCACACCACCCGCGTGAAAGCGACAAGCATTCCCGGCATGCACAGTGAAACCACCAACAGGAATAAAACGACCTACCCAGAGAACCCAATGCCCCTTAATTAAGGAATATACCTTAAATCACAATAGTAGGGCCCCTATAATTTATGGTATAGTCCTTAATTAAGGGGTATTTGGGTATCAAGCCTCAAAAGGCTTTGGGTCTGGCATGTGGAAGTTCCTTCGGGCTTCACAAAGCTCGGGCTTGGAGGTTCTCAATTTGGGATACTTGGGGTTGATGGGTAGTTATAAATGGGGTTATAAGTAGGGTAACTATGCTTATAACCCATATTAGGAGACTTATAATCCCACTTATATTAACTACCCATGAACCTGCAAGTACTTTGAAGATTCAGCAATAAGCGACCCAAACCGTGGATCTCTCTTTGCAGCGTTTAGAATGTCAGGTCAGCACTTTCAGTAAGCTCTCATGAAGCTAGGACAGCTGGAGGATCAGTCTAGCTGAGGACGACTCCTCTGCGGTTCGCGGCGGCCGGAGGAACCTACCGGCAAAGGTCAACTCCCATGGGCCTTTGGGGGGGGAGCCATTAACCTGTGGTGCCACATAGCCCCCACACGAAAGTCCATCGGTTCTGCCGTCCTGAGCCCTACACTCAAAACCGAATCCCTCAGTTCATGCCGATCTTGCTGCGAAGATTGCTGAGCTAAGTGCAAAGCAATCCGTCCACTCCCTGAAGAGCCGGGGCCGACTATCGAGAGTCCATGGCTAAAGCCACCATCCCTACTGTCTTTTTTTATCACTGCCACTGCTACTGCTACTAGTCACTACGACTACGACTACTACTACAACTACTTCTACTACTACTACTGCTACTACTACTCCTATTCCTACTACTCCGATTCATACCACGATGACGACGACTTATCCGTGACTACTGTTGTGCGTGACTCTCCCTTCTCTTATTCTTCTTGTGTCGGTTCCTGACTTCTGATACCGTTAGAACGCTTCGGCTGTCCGGTGCTTGCCCAAGGCCCGGGAAGACTGAAGACAAAGCCCGAACCGCCGGAGTTTAGAGAGCCCGTCTTGAGAGAAACGCACTTTGCAACATTTCGCCGGTAGTATGTGCTTGTCCAAAAGACCCACACCAGGCCACATCTCACGGGAACCGGGGTGATCTCCAAACTTGACCATCCGAGTGGCTTTGGCGCTTGCTTCCGAGCCTGTGCATTGGATGTGTCTTCGGTTGGCCGAGGAACCCTCAAGTTGGTGCAAAGGGGACTGTGGCTTCAAGCAATGTAGGGGCCCTAATAATTAGAATATTATTATTATTGTTATTATTTTTTTTGGGTGGGGGGGGACTCCTTATTATAATTCGAGTATAATATATACCCCCCAAACCCTATCCTAATTCTTCAAGCCCCTATAGTAATCCTTGGGTCCATCGGCAGGCGATGTCCAACGACTCGACTCGAAACGAGACATCCAAGAAAGAAGCTGCTCGTTGGGTCGGGGACTGAGGCCGAAAGGAGGCCCAAGTGTGGACAAGAAGGCCCTAAGATAGGCTTGTAGGGTTTAGGGTTTAGGTTTTAGGGGCCCTAATATAGGTTTATAGGGTTTAGGGTTTAGGTTTTAGGGTTCAGGTTTTAGGACAAGAAGGCCCTAATATAGGGGCCTTCATAATTAGAATAGGGCTTTCGGGGCTCATTTGTACTATAATGATAATAGGGAAGCCCCTAAATAGTATAGGTCATTTTTTTAGGCCCCTACATTGAACATGGTCTTCGGGTTCGGTGCAGAGGGATCAACGCCTGGTCGTATTGCTATTGTTGATGCTGGCGAGCCTGTTAACATACCACACTGACGTGCTTTAACATCGTTATAAAGACCGGATGCACTAGGATAGTGCGTAGTCAGATGTCACACTGACAACAACCAGCGGGCAAGCAATATGGAACTAGGATGAACACCGCAAGTGACAAAGCAGCGCCATGAGCGCCGAACAGACCGGAATCAGCACTGCAATTACTGGCCGCAACATAGTAGTAAAAATCCGCGCATCAGAATTGGAACCTTATGATCTTCTCTTCATCACCATCCTCACCGTCGTCATCGGCGTCATCAACATCGCTATAACAACTCTGCAGCCAGGTCGAACGGCTGCTTCCAGTACGAACATGGTATCATGGAGTGCTGTGCTTTGACCAGGTGAAGCATGGTGTGAAACTCTTTGCTCTCTGAATGGGTGGAGTGGTCGAAGGCAGCCCCGTCGTCGATACATTTCCGCTCGCGTGCAGACACGTCGGAGTAGCAAAGGGGGAATTTTGCAAAGCTGCCTGCATCACAATACAGATACTCCACGTAAATTCAAACTCGAGACCCTAGGCTACAGGGGATAGATAGTGCCTGACACCCTGGGCAGCTGCTTGCAGTGGGCAGGAATGAACAGGGACGAGTCGAGACTCAGAAAGGTGCATTTGTCTCGACCCGCTCCACCCCGCTCCAATCGGACTAAGAGCATGACCTGGTGAAACTGTTGCGAAAGAAGCTTCGTACCTTCGGTAGCGGGACTAGGACAGGCGTGCTGCTGTTGGGACCGAGGCCTCATTAAAAAGTATCCGACCACGTTCCTGAACAACTCCTGCCACCCACCTCAGCCGCGTCTCTCTACCACTGCCGCAGAGATTCTCGACTCTCTTTGGATGATGGTTCAGGGCTCGCCGGTTGAGGTCTCGCCACCCGAAGGACTGCAGCCGAAAGAATCGGAAGCGCTTGTGGAAGCCCGCGAAGCATATGCCAGTTCGGAGGATCCTTTGACTGCCTCACCCAGGCCTAGGCATCCCAGGCATCTCTTGACTGTGTCTGAGAACTCTCGATCTGTGCAGGAGGCGAGAAGCTTCACGCTGTCCTCATCCACCCATTCCACGGAAGCATCGATCAAATGGAAGGGACGAAAGCAGGCGACGAAGCTTTGCATCAAGGAAAGCCACGAGCGCTGGCCAAGAATGACAACTAGGTGATCGTAACCATCATCGCGGGTCTGAAAGTCGTCCATGACCCGGATGAAGTCGATATCCGTCTCACAAGTCTCTACGCTGTTCAAGCCTGCACGAGCACATTGCATTTCGAAGGCCAGTCGGCTGCAGACTTCTTCCACTGCTATCAAGACGTGAACGGATGTGCCAAGCTGCACCAAGGAAGCTGCGTGACTGTGCCTCTCTGAGCTCAAGATGTCCAGAGGCTGCGACAGGACTGACTTCTGTACACAATCATCGTCGGATGCCTCAATTTCGAATTGCCCATGCATCATGTGGAGTCGACGGCAAAGTGAACCGAAACGACTGCGCACGGTCGATCGTAGCTGAACAGAACGCCCCAATCTCACAAAGCTGACAAGGGGTCCAAGCTATGCGCGGCGAATCCGAAGTTCGCGACATCCAGAAAGGTCAGCCTAATGAGCCCACTGCAAATCAAAAGAAGGGTGTCAAGCAGGGGGGGTGCATCGATGCATCCGCACTGACGGCCACGAGGATGCGATTCTGCAGCCAGTAACATATACACAAACGATGATATTGATGACAGCGACGATGATGCTATCCATGGTGACGTGGTGTTGAACGAGATCTGCAATACCCAATAACCGGATTAACTAGCAGTCCCCTCTCAGCCGTCTTTTGCCTTCGTGTAGGGTTTAGGGTTTAGGGCTTAGGCCCTAAGCCCTAAACCCTAAACCCTAAGCCCTAAACCCTAAGCCCCAAACCCCTAAACCCTAAACCCTAAGCCCCAAGCCCTAAACCTAGGGTTTAGCCCCAAACCCCTAAACCCTAAGCCCCAAACCCCTAAACCTAGGGTTTAGCCCCAAACCCCTAAACCCTAAACCCTAAGCCCCAAACCCCTAAACCCTAAGTCCAAATCCCCAAACCCTAAGCCCCAAACCCCTAAACCCCAAGTCCAAAGCCCTAAAGACTGGATTTCAGGTCTCGGGCCCGAGGGCAGCAGCCGTGTGCCGGGACCTGGAGCAGATGCACTTCCGAAGTGCAGAGCCCTACGGGTTTAGGGGTTTAAGGGTTTAGGGTTTAAGGGTTTAGGGTTTAAGGGTTTAGGGTTTCGGGTTCAGGGGTTTAGGGGTTTAGGGGTTAGGGGTTTAGGGCTTTAATTAGGGGTTTAGGGGTATAGGGGTTTGGGGGTTTATAGGGACTCTGAGTTAGGGTCCCTTTTTTTAGGGCTCCTTAAAAGGATGTACAAGGCTTTTATAAGGGTACTGTATGGGTAGTTCTCTGAATTAAGGTCCCGTTTTGGGTCCACTATTTAGAGAACTACCCATATAATCGTGTAGAAATCAGCATCGTGATGATAAGGCCCTCCTAGAGTTATAACTTTCCTGCGGCCCCTGCCACCCGCAAATTCTGCAGTCGAGGCCTGAAAAGCCTCGGGCTTGCGAACCATAAGGGCTTCTGCTGTGCCAACCCCTAAACTCCATGTAGCACCTTGAGCCTATCTGTTGGGCTAACTCTACTCCTGCTCGTAGTACCCTAAACCCTAAACCCCTGAACTACTACGTAGTGTTTAGGGGTTTAGGGTTTAGGGTTTAGGGTTTAGCACCAGTATCTACTCCACAACTGCAGTGGCACCACTGGCTCCGATTCCTCCTCGTGTTTCGTAATATCATTTCATTAGCCCCCGTAGAACTACGTAATGCAGTCCTGGCAGTCATGGTTGTCACCGCGTATACTTGGAGGTTCATGGGTGTCTAGAAGTGGGGTTATAAGTCCCTTAATATGGGTTATAAGAATGGTTCCTTACTTATAACCCCAATTATAACTACCCATGAACCTCCAAGTAGCTCTTGCTTTGATTCCCATAAGATCCCAGTACTTACGGGGCTCCGAAACCGCAAAATCCACCGCTTGATGCGAGGGGGGTTTAGCACTCAGGGCAAGTCTGATTGGCAATGAGGCCGTAGGCTTCAATCTGAAAGCCCTCAGCCCTCAATAGGAAGCCACAGCGCCATGCAGTGAAGGAATCACAACGTAAGACTCTGCCGGGTTTTAGGGTTTAGGGTTAAGGGTTTAGGGCTCTATGCTCAGTCGCAGTCTCTGTGGCCATTCGGGTTGAGGGTTGCGGCCAACAACACATCATCGCTTCGCAGCACTGACTCTCTTCTTCAACAACCAAGCCCCAAAAAGTTCAAACTTTTTAGGATAGACCTAATATATAAAGCCCAAAAAGTTTAAAGTTCTCCCTTTGGCTATCTTAACTGAGCTCACCCCAAATCGCCTCGTCGTCATCACCCTCGGAGTCCAATTCCTCGCTAGTGGACGAAGCCTCACGGGTTTAGGGTTTAGGGTTGACACCAAGGGCGTGGGTCGCCACAAGCTTCACATCCCTGGGGTTCCGGTTTGCGTTTTGTGTGTGACGAGCTAATACAGGGGCTTTAATAATTAGAATTGGGCTTGGGGGCCCATTATGCTACAATTATTGTACTAAGGAACCCCAAAATAGTATAGGTACTTTTTTGGGGCCCCCTACATTATTAGCACCAATGCCCTGCACTACCAGAATCTGGAGCAAGCACATGGCAGGTGGTGAACGCCCTTAGCAGCCCAGGCCTCCAATCATGGTGCGACTGTCTATTCCTTTCTTGATAGGGTTTAGGGTTTAGGGGTTCCTTTCTTTAAGGTTTAGGGTTTAGGGGTTCCTTTCGTCATAGGGTTTAGGGTTTAAGGGTTCCTTTCTTAAGAGGCGCCTCACGCTCTCTCCCAAACACCTTATCATGAAGGGAACCCTATGATGTCTACTATATGACCCTCTGCGCGGTTTTGATCCAGGGTATAGGGCCCCCGACAATTTTAACCTAGGAGTGCCCCCAAGCTTCGAGGATTGGTGCCGGGCCCAGCACTTCACAAAACATCACAAAACTAAGCCTAAACCCTAAAGGGCCTTAATGATTAGAATCGGGTTTTGGGTGTTCCTTATTATAATCATAATGAAATATCCCCCAAAACACTATTCTAATTATTACGGGGCCCCTATATTAACCCCCCAAAACCCGAAACATCCGAAAGCCGAACTTTCCAGCCACCCGACGATCGGCTCTGCACCGGGCTAGGGGACCCGGCAGAGTATCCACGTTTCAACTTCCGCCTTCAGAACCGTGAAACATGTGGGAGTTTCCGAAAATTAGGGGTACCTTACTTTGGGGTCCTTATAATAAGGATCCTACTATTTAAGGTACTATATTAGGGTACCTTATTTGGGGTCCTTATAATAAGGATCCTACTATTTAGAGTACTATATTAGGGTACCTTATTTTCGGAAAAACCCATGTAACAGACGCGGGCACAACAAACTACGATCGCTGGGTTCCTCGCATGAACCTACACGTAAAGCTCCCTGCACGATGTGTGACGTTCTTCCTTCAGCACCCTGGTGTCTTGGCACACTATAGTCTTCTATATCAGAGGCAGTGCTCTGACCATGTGGAAGCCTTGGCGATGGTGCTTGCGACTTTTGTTTAAGAACCTGTTTCCTCTGCTGCAGAAGTCAGGGTTCAACTTTGCAAAAACGACTGAAGGCTGACGATATTAAAGCCGCTGTCATCGTGTCATTGGGTGTTGAACACGGCGACACCATGTAGGGTGCTTATTGACAGTATCCCCATAATGACCATCAAGTCAACATACATACATACATACATAC